TTACACTTCAATTATTATACACATATCTGACGCTGTTTTGAGAAAGATTGGAAAACTTGATTTTACTAAAAAACTTTGAAAAAAGTTAGATACTTGCTTAAGTCTACTCCAAATAAGTTGTACTTGTTTGAAAGATTTTTCAACTTTAAAATGGATCCTTCTAAAGATTTTGATGAAAATCTGGATATTTTTAATAAACTTGTTCAAGATATTGTTAATTGTGGAGAAAATGTGTCTGAAATGTATAAAACAATTATTTTGCTTAATTCCATGATGATAGGGACACCCTAATACCTGAGATTGTCATAGATTCTCTTAAGAGTAAGAAGATGGAGATTAAGACTGAAAAAAAAAAGATAATAGAAGTGATGAATTGCATATGATGAGGAGTAGAATGAAGTTTAAGCAGATAAATTTGGGTAGAGCTCAAGACAATAGTAATTCAAGTAGAGACTCGAGCGATGAGGGTTACAAGAACAAGAGGAAGGGATGTGACAAGTCTAGTGGTAGACGGTGTTACAGTTGTGGTAAAATTAGACACTTTATTAAGGACTGTCCTAAAAAGAAAAAGAATAAGAAGAATGGTAAGTTGAGAGGCGAGACGAATTTGGCATTAGGGTCGAGTGATGAACTCAGTAAGGCTTACTGAGTGTAAATCTAGTTACTACATATGTATCCATGTGTAATCCTTTCTTCATGTATGTGATTGCTTAAGTCGGTTGCATGGTTATATATGCATTTCAATGTGTTTGATATGTGCATTTGCATGAATTTGAGAGCAATTTAATTACTTGTTGTAATTGTTTGCATGCATAGTGAGTTGGGATATATTAGCACTATGTTATATGTCTTTTGGCAAGGTGGAGTATAGATGCCTAGGGGTACATTGATGGTATGTACTGGGGATGTGGTGTATGACATTTAGATCACGAGTGGAGATGTGATTAAATGTTGAAATCTTTTATCTGTGAAAAGACCCTGATCAGGTGGAGTGTGAGAGAGACACTTCTATCACTTCTGTTAGGTGGAGACTCATTATCCACGTAGGTTGGGAGAAATGATATAGTTATAGAGGATTATTTCGAGAACTTAGGATCTACAGTGGCTTACCAATTAGACATGTTTTGAGTGATTAGTCTAGTGAGCATGGTGGGTGATAATGTGAGATATGTGTTCTCAAAGTGTGAGCAACACGTAATGGGATATGATAAGTGTGGTGAGATCTTTTCGTGGGTTATTTATGCATTTGTTGCATATGTGTTGACCTGTTGATTAACTTGGTGTTAATATGTTGTTCTATGTGAACATGTTTTGAAAAGATCTATGTGTTATGATATATATATAATATCTCCATCACATGTTTATTTGCTCTTGATTGATTGCTGTGATTATCTGCTTGTACTTGGATGTTCTTGATCTTAGCCCTGGTGAGTATATGGAGCGATATGGTATGTGTTTCGGGTCCGAAACACGAGGTAAGGTCTGTGATTCCAATTTTATTGGTTACCTTGATTATGCAAGTATAAACTGTGTGTTTTGATTGCTTGCAAATTTATTGGGAATCAAGGTGGAGATTTGTTGGGTTTTGATACCCAATAAATCTGGGCGATGATTTTAAACCGATTTATTGGATTATACTTAATAGACTTCGGCCGATGAGTGAAGTGAAATGTCGACACCACAATTAGGTGGAGATTTGTTGGATTTTTGATACCCAATAAATTATGGCGATGATGTTAAATCGATTTATTGGATTATACATCATATGCCTCGGTCGATGAGTGAAGTGAAATGTTGACACCACAATTCCTACAACCTATTTGGGCTATTTGAAGTAACCTAATTTCATTGGAATTACTCATGGCTCAACCCATTACCTTGGAAGGCTTTAGGGTTGACGCCCATTTATTGTTACATATTGGGCCTTACTCCTCTAACCTAAAGCCCATACCTAATTCCCCCTTTATATGTATTGCCCCATTACTGTTTGAGGGTGGGTGAATATTGTGGGCTGCCATGTTCCAGAGAGAAGAGAGTGTCGTTGGCTTTGTGCTTTCTCCTTGGCTTTGTGCCGTTCTCTTCTCCCTTTATCTAAGCCTTTGTAGCTGATTATTGTGGTTACAATATTCATCACCCTTAGCCCTTTGTGGGCAGTCAAGAAAGCAACCGGCTTTGGGAAGAAAGGTTGGTAGGTTTTGGTTGTGAAGATTGTCGTGGCGTCAATTTAGTGTTAACTGAGCCGGTTATTGGTGTGATTGGAACCCAATATTCAACAGTAGAAAAGACCACTCGAAACTAATTTATTTAGCAAAATAAGATTTTTACATAACTTATTAAACCCGAGCATGAAATGTAAAAAAGTCAAAAACCAAACCACCCAGTTATAGCAACAACAGCATAATCAGTTCTATCCAAGTCAGATTCCATGCCAAAAAGTGATCACCTAGGCATGAGGTATTGCTGATTAAGCTAACAGATAAGATTAACATGGGAAAAATACAGCTAATTAAGTTGCATTTTACAAAAGCATAGACATTTATCTCTAATAGTACAACTTTAGAGCAACATAAAAAAGGGTCTGCAAATAAAAAGTGTTGACTAATCAGTCTTCTTATCTGCACGCTGAGAGGTTATAGTGGCCGAGCGCTTGTCTTCAGCCATCTTTGCATGAATCTCATCCCGTTCCTTAAAATACCTCTCGAAGGCCCTTGGAAGAAATCGTGGGATGAGGAAACAGAATAGATTGACAGAAAAGTATAGTAGATTAGCAACTGCCAACCATCGTCCGAACCAATACCAAGCAACGTCCTATAACACACCCAACATTAGTAAACACACATTAATAAGTACAGAAAGGAAAGACTAAACATTCATCTACCTTAAATTCTGCATTTGCAGGCAAGGTTTTGTTAATCCATACATCCTTTATCCAATCAAGTATGACAAAGATCCTCCTCACAGTATAAAGTAGTGGCACGAGTGCTCTCACAGGAGGCGAAAACAAGGACAGCCCACTAATTATATTCTCTGTTAGTATTTGAAATGATAGCAAGAATAAATGGGGCGTGGCTGATCGCACGGCATGTTCGTCCCCTCTTGCAAATCCACCCAAAACAAATGCCAATGGCAAGAACAGACCCACAGTGGTCCCAACAACTACATAGAATCTAATCATTCTACTCCCCCGAAATAGTTCAGGCGATTCAGAGATTTTGCCATGAGCAGGAAAAGCTAACCACGAAAGTGCAAGAAGATAAGCAGAAGCAAAAGCTGGGAAAACAAGGTCAAGAAGCGGAACAAGGCCGCTGGCTGAAAAGACCATAATGAAAGCCACTAATTGCAATTCGATCACACGGAGGGATCCCATTACACCACCTGGTGCTGCCTGCTCTTGCATCTGCTGCTGGTGGAGCTTGGCACATTTCTGCTGGGGTTCTGTGTCTGAGGTAATAGTCCGATCAGGCTCGGAACGTGGGGCCACAGCAAGTGATACACCCGACATTATTTCAATTATTTGTTCGTTCTTACGTAAAAGAGGTGGGCGGGATTTGTATATCAGATTGATTTGCTTATTGTGTAACTGAACCTGTTTAAGAAATGATAAGCCTATTTCAAAGAAGGAATGCTATAAAAAAAGCGATCAACATGATGCCTTCTAAAAATCTGCCTATATATAATCATCAAGGAAAAATGAAATACAAAGCCGTAGAAACAAGCGAACATGTATGCGTAAAAAATGCATAATTGTGTTCTAGAAATAGCCCGGAAAGAGCATGTCTCGACACAAGTTGAATCTGAAATTGATTCTCCATTCATCAGGGCTACGCATTTGGTACACCACACTGCATTACAGTGGATACTGAATAATACTAGGGTGGTTTGCCATTATACTTTGTTTGGTGCTACAGCTTATTAAGAGAAAAGATAAGTTATAGTTTGTTTGGTGCTACACCGTAATAGATAAGTTACATTACATTACATTTTGTTAGCAAAACAGCAAGGTTAATCTGCCTTTAACCTCACTTCCTGCTATAGATTAATTAGTATGCTTTGGTCTGGATAATAGAAGTTTACCGGATTAAAATTCCTCATACAATTTAACAAAACGCTTTATTGCGTAATTAACCGATTTAATACGACCTGCCAACTGTTTGAACCATTTCCTAAATACTTGTGCTTACTGCACTGTTCAAAATAGACAATTGAATAATCTATACCAATATAATGGCAATGTCTCCAAATAGCCAAAATGTTCGTGAAAACATCAATAATCGATACATAAATGAAGTTATCAAATGCTAAATGTCAATACTTACAGAAAATTCATGAACTCGTTCGTATAATCATGGAAACACAAACAAGAATGAAGAATTCAGAAAACGTACAAAATTCGAATCGAAATTGAAGTTTCACAGTGCAAAAAACCATACCAGAAAATTCGAGAGGAAAAAATTGCAGATCCAGAGAAAAAACAGAATTATCAACGAAGAGTTAGCGCCCAAGTTTACATTGTTGGAGCGAGTTGCGCTTGGAGCTTTTGCAACGTAACACGTGTGACAAATGACACGTTGTAGCTTAACAGGCTACCATGTGGGAAACGTAAAGGTTCGTAAGTTCGCGGGTAAATTTCTTTTGCGGTCACTGAATGTTTAGCAACAAATTCAATTTGGTTACTAAATGTTAATTTATTTCAATTAGGTCATTGAACTTCAATTTAATTTTAATTAAATCAATGAACTTCAGTTTTATTTCAAATTTCACCGCTTTGTCACATGTGGTCTTCCAAATTGATAGTTGCAACCAAAAAAAATTTCTTGTGCTTGGAATGTTAGACTATGAGACCTCATAAAAGTTACGAACTATTATTATGTGTACCTTAAGCTTATCCTTCTTCAATCTATTTTCTTAACCATTTTTTCTCATTTTTTGGTGGAAAAACTCTCTTAAAGGTGCATGAAGTCGATAAATTTTTGAAAAATGTGGAGTTGAAAACAAGCAAGAGAAAATCATTTTCAAATTACTTAAACTCAGTGGTCAAGTTTATCTAATGAACACACACCACATGTTCTTTGACATCCTCGACGTGTTAGTAACTAGTCCATCACGAGCAATTTATCTATCACCGATTTGAATGATAATAAATTTCATTGAACGGTGAATTAAGAAGTTAACTATCACTAAAATCAATGATATATCGCATTATTGCAAAAAACAAAAGAAAAATGTGCATTTTACGTCCATGTTTGATGCCCATTATTTAAAGAAAAAAAAAGAGTTTTGAATAGTATTTTTAGAAGAATGTATGGTTAAAAGGTAAGAAAATATTTGAATTTACATGTAAAATATTTTAATACGTGAACGTGTGATTGAAAATGATTCCGTAGAAAAAAATTAGGGAGCGTTTGATGAATATTATTGAGAAAAAAATGTATTTTAAATAGTGATATAATGAGAAATACGTGGTTAAAAAGTAAGGAAAATTATTGATGTGGTGTAAAATATTATTTTATTGAAATATGTGTGGTTGAAAAAGAATTTTAAAAGAACGTGTGTCAAACATGATCTTAAAATAATGGACACCAATTGAGGACTAAAAATTGGGGAAAAATTCATATCTAAGGTATTTTCTTTACCTCAATTCAAAAGTAAGGTAAAATAGTTTGAAAATTCAAAAATCATGTATGGATTTAATTAATTAAAAATATTTATTAAATAAAGATAATAAAGTCACAGTTTGTGATTACTGGTCACATATTCATAATTATAAGTCACAAATTTATTTACTGATCACATATCGTCAAATTTTTTGATCCCAGATTATTTCGAGGTCACATATCAAAAATTTGTACGTCACAGATTATTTAGAGGTCACAGATTTTTAAATTAGTTGATCACAGATTATTTTTGAGTCGCGTATTATTAAATTTTTAGGTTACAGACTACCGTCGCTTGGTCACATGTCAGAGATCGACCAAATGCTTGGTCACAGATAACCAAACATTTGGTCACAGACTACCACCGCTTGGTCACAGGTTGCAGCAGCCACAAACCACCACACTCATAGCCACAAATCACCACACCCACAGCCACAGAACACACGCAACAACAGATCCGCCACCACCATCAATAGATCCGCCACCAACCACCAATTCGCCATCCCACAGATACTCCATGAGGCCTCTCTCTTCAAGAATATTCACCACATTGAGCCTATTCCTTACATTTGCGACATCTCCTTCAGTTGATTCTTGGACAAATTGAGTCCAGTTGGACCAACATCACGACCAACGAAACCCACCACCAACATCACGCCAGCCAAACCCACCACCGCATCCATACCCACCAACTTCACTCCATACCCGAACCCTTAAACTACAGCAGCGTCGACCAGAACCCTTGAACCACAACAGTGTCGCGGCTGTTGCTGCGCGAACGACAGCGTCGCGACACTGCTGAGTTCGTGGTAGCGTCATGTGCTGCTGCGCGAATGGCAGCGTTGCTAGCAACGTTGCGGCGATACTGCTGTCCGGCGAAGAGGGGAGAGGCAGATATGGTGGGGGAATGAGAGAGAAGGGGGACGGAGGAAAGAGAAAGGGAAAGGGAAAGGGGAGGGGAGAGGAGGCGAGAGAGAGAAAAATGTGAGGGTGAGAATGATAAATTAGGGTTAGGGTTTTTAAATTACCTGATTTTTGAATAATAAAACTTGATCTTTGAATTTTGAATTCCAATCTTTAAACACCTGAATTATTATAATTTCCCTAAAAACTGTTAGAATATTCAAAGAATTATAGCCCATTGCTCATCCCGCCACAAACCAAATTTGCGGTTTTAACCTCGACAGTCATCCAGGATGTAATAACAACTTTATCCAATTAATCCACCCCACGTTTTCCTCGACTATTGAGATATTATTTATTTAACTACAAAAATAAAAATGTGCTTAAGAGTTTGAACTTCTTGTGATACATTTCATTTTCATACTTGTATATGTCGATCCAGTAGATTTTTGTTATCCTTCTTGAAATTGGACGTGTGACTGATTATTAAGCCTACGTTTGGTTCCCATTTTTCCAAGAAATTATTATTTTTAAACCTTATTTTCAATCATACATTGTTTAACAAAATAATTTTACACGTAGGTTGAAAACTTGTATTTAATTTTTAATCACACGTTTTCAAAAAATCACTATTCAAAAATACATTCTTCTCTAAAAATGGGGTTCAAACAAGCTCTAAAAGACTATGCTGTGGAGTCTTTATACAAATAAAGATGTATAGTTGTTGACGATAAAATATTTTGTATGTAAATCCAATCTTTTTTTTTTCTACTTTTTAATTACATATTTTCCAACAATTCACCGTTACAAAATTTATTTTAAAGAAATAATGAGCAACAAACAGGGGCTTAATGTGATAAAAAACTAAGAGCATGTGCACTCGGAAATAAGGGTGTCAAAGAGATGAGCCGAAACCCAAGTTCATGCTCGGCTCGAATAAAAATGGTTTGAACTTTTTTGGCCCGAGTCGAGTCGAACTTTTGCTCAACCAAAAAATCTAGGCTTGATCCAAACTTTCTGTTCGAGCCTTAGCAAGTCTTAGCCAACTTGCGCTTATTATTATTATTATTATTATTATTATTTATATATAACTGCCTTAACAAGGTAGCAATAAGGCAACTGTATGTGCTGCCATAACAAGGTAGCAGAGTTGCATTAACAAGTGCAAGCATCTGTACTGTTCAAGCAGCTAAATAATTTTATTTTATTTTTTGTTTAAGATTTGTAGATTTTTTATTATTATTATTTTTAGGCTCAGCTCGTTACGGACCGAAAATTGCATGTGTCGCTTGTACTGCTCGAGTTCGTGCTGACGTCCCAAAATGGGGCTCGGCCTAAGTTTCGGCTCGGTTCTATCGAGTCACGAGTCGGGCCGACTTGGACTTTTCTTAGGCCAAGCTTCGACCCATCTGAGCCGGTGAGTCAAATCGACACTCCTAATTGGAAATGAATTTGAGAAAGACGGAATTTTAAATAATAGAGTCAAACAGAGTCTAAATTACCTACTACTGTCATTAATTTCAAATTAGGTTGCGGATTGAGGGAAATTTGAAATGTGATTTCTTTAATTGATTGGATTTGTTTTATTTTGACAATGATGTAGATTGAAGCTTTCTTTTGACTCCATCCATCCATTCAGCACATGTGCCGCCCCGCCTACTCCTCTTTTCAATTATTTGGGGGAAAAAATGGCTAAACAAACTCACCACATCACCTCACATTTTCTACGTTTATCATTATAAATGTTTCGAATTTATTAAAAATAGGATTAACTTTATATACTTTAAGGTTTAATTCTTAAATACATATGATTAATTCACGACTTTAGGATATCACGTAATCATCACTCTTTCAACCATATAATTATGAGTGGTCTCGCATGGTCTTTGAAGAATTTTGTCGATTAGCCAAAGGGAAAATATTAATCTCGTCTTTTAAAAGTATAAATTTTATTTTCAAAACGTTCTTGAATTCATTTTTTTTCCTATCGAAAGTCTCAAACTAGGAGTGTCAACGAGTCGAGTTAAGCCGCGAGCCGAAACTTTTTGCTCGAACTCGGCTCGAGTAAAAATACTTCGAACTTTTTTTGGCAAAAATTTAGGCTCGACCCGAGCTTTTGACTCGAGCCTTAGCAACCCGAGCCGGCTCAATTTTATTTATTTTTTAATTCTTGATAAATCTAATTTTTTTTAAAGAATTTAAAATTTGTACAATTTATACTTATTATAATGCCGGCACGACTCAGGGCTTTTTTCGGACAGAGCCTTAGCCGACGAACTATTTTGTCATCCCTTTCTCAAGCGGTCTAATTCCTCTACAAATTATGAGTAGTTATGTCCAGTCCAATTATGAAACCCGCTTCAGAAGCTCGGTTGGACACCAAACATCAATAATAAAATTCAAATTCAAGAATTGCCAAGGACTGTGTAATATTCAGTCTACTGTACGCCCATTATCTGATTGGTTCGTCGTTTGCCATTTGAGTCCGGCTGAAGAAACAAAGCTTGAGAAAGAAAATTGAGTAGAGTGTGATAACATATTATATTGATTGATTGATTGGTTACCTTTACTGCTTTTTTGAAAAATTGAAATGTATACCCATCTTTTTTCGTATGAAAAACTTTGAATTTAAGTGATACCAAATGATATGTCAACAACTTGCTTTAAAGGGTGTCCCCATTTGTCTTCAAGCTGGGCAACAACACATCCACCGATCATCACGCCCACCTACCAATTCTTATCAATTTCTTTATAATAGATATCTCAAAAAAAAAAAAAAAAATGAAAGAGGAGATTGGATGAGATAATTGTACTATTTTTTTGTTATAAAAAACTAAAGAAAGCTAAGTGTTGTAAATTTTAAGTACGAACATATTTTTTGTCCAAACATTTTTCGAGTTTTCCGAAAAATAATGTATTACATCTTGTTCTTTAAATCCCAAGGTTGCTTTATTCCATACAAGCTCAAGTTTTGGATGATAGGTTAGGTTAATCAGTAAAAAAAAATTGTTATGGGACCTATCTTAGACTTTAAGGTTCTTTCGAGGTCAAGTTTGTTTGGAAACTAAATCAAAGAAATTATCACTGCTGTTTACCAGCAAGTTTGAACACATTGACAAAGGAAATCCGTGTTTTGGGAGTATAAATTTTGTATATTCTTGGGTGAACAGGACTAAAAGGAACATCTGCTTTTGCTTTGGACTAGGTTACTATTTAACCATCATTTGCCTGATTCGTGGATTAGGACAAAATTTGTCAAAAAGCCGGTCTTTCGCAGCAATTTCTTCCAGCAGTAAAACGTCAAAAACATCATTTTTCCAGTAAAACATGTTGAGAAAATAGGCAACCACAGTAAAAGGTGATGAAAGTCTACGAGTTTACATGTTCCCTTCATCAATCAAGAGGCCCCATTTTTCGCTTCTTCTAATGGAACACAAGGGCTCAAAGCAACAGCCTCAAGATGTGGCGGCCTTGTTGAGCCCAAACATGGCACAAGGCAAGCTGGAACAGGTGAAGGATGATAGTAAAAAGAGGCAATTAGCCCCCAAAAGAAGCTCTAACAAAGATAGGCATAAGAAAGTTGAAGGGAGAGGTAGAAGAATTAGGATACCAGCTTTATCTGCAGCTAGAATTTTTCAGTTGACAAGAGAGTTGGGTCATAAAACTGACGGAGAGACAATTCAGTGGCTTTTACAGCAGGCTGAGCCATCAATTATTGCTGCAACAGGTTCGGGGACAATCCCAGCATCAGCTATTACGGCTGCAGGGACCTCTGTTTCAGAACAAGGAAGTTCTGTCTCTTCAGGTGTCTATGCAAAATTCAATGAAATTGGAGCACGAATCGGAATGAGGAATCATTTGGCTATGATTGGTGAAGATTTCGGTAGATCCCATATTCCACCCGGGGCGTGGCCTTCTTTCACTGGTTTTGGATCTGAAATTCTGCAAAATTCTAATGTTTTAAGCTTGAACCGTATGCCTAAACTCGGTTATCATGGGTTAGAATTCCCTAATTCAGTGGATATCAGTAACCATATGCCAGGTCTAGAGCTTGGTCTTTCTCAGGAAGGTCATATTGGAGGTTTGAATCTTCAAGCCTTGAACCAGCTTTACCAGCAAATCGGACAGAATGGAGATCCTACTAAGGATAACTCTCAAGGATCAAGGCAGTAGAGTTTCCCTATGATCAGGACTATATATAAGGTAGCTAGCATCTTTAAGGTTTGTTTTTGAAAGTATCAATGTTCTGAATTATATCGTTCTTGCGAATCCGATTCACGCCAAATGGATTAGAATTGGATGCGAGAACTGTTCGTGGTTTTTGCTGCGTAGCTACATCAAATGTCCACAAGGAGGTACGATATTTTACTCTACTTAGATCTACAATTCTGGGATTTACACAGTTTTCGTTAACACCTTTTTCGGTTGTCACTTGCAGTTTGGACTACACGTATAGCAGCAAGGTGCGACGAGTTTGGTTGTTAACACCTTTTCTGTTTCTGGTTTTTCTTATACAATTTTGATGAATGCTGGGCCAAACATATTGGCTTTGTACTAAAATACAATTGAGTTTTAGTGGTTTGCATGTATGTTGAAACTAGGAAGTTTCTCAACCATACTTGAAACAGTTTCTGATACCTATGAATTTATATATATGTCAGAAAGAGACTTGCTAAATTTTGATGTGAGGATAGGATATGAAATGTGCTCTGTACCCAATTTTCTTTCGCAAGACTCTCGTGCTAAGGTGTTTCAGTTACACATTTTGTCGTGTAAAGCATATGTCCCTTCCGCCGGCCTTCTCTTAGAAAAATGGTTCACCTCTGGCTACGGAAGCACCTGTAAGAACGAGGGAGGGAATTTGATTGAGTTTTCCCTGCAAATTATCTAGTTTTCAGTTAAGTTGTCCTGTGATAAAAATTGGGGCCCCGCGTAAATGTTCATTATCTCATCTAATACCTTTATTGTAATATATCTTTCAAGTGTTTTTTTTAAAAAAAAAAAAAATTTTGTTCATGGACGGAAAACGGGTATTTTATGCTTCAAAAATGAATTTTGTAGTGGTTCCATACTTTATAAGAACGCATACATCCTTTTTTGTTAATTCCATGATTGGCATAACCATAATTGGTAGTTCCATGCGCACTAATCAATATTTGGATTAATAGCAGAAAATCTCATATAAATGTTTCTATGTGCGATATACTCACATATCTATTGGAAATCACAAAATCCCCATGTTTGAAACGTCTTGTACTAAAAATTCTCAAGCCTTCAAGATTCGTTAGATTTGCAGTTAAAAACAGTAATAAATGTCAAAATTAAAAAAAGAATAATTACAATTTTAGTAACCATACTATAATCAGTTGAGCGAGTTCACAACTTGAAATGCTCGAGATGTAAATATTTTTTACGTGATTGATACATCGGGTTATCCAGTAAAAAGCAAGACAATTGAGGCAGTTCGAAAAGAAATAGGCCAGATTGTACTACACGGGAAGGACGATACGTATTCAACTTTACCACCCCGGCAGACGGGACGATATACTTTCGATAATTTCTTCCGTTCAAGATCAAAAAAAACCCTCCCCAATTTGGCTCGATAAAGTCATGCTCCCCAGCTATTTAACTTACAAATTAGATGCTAGCCGAGTTCATGTACGAAAGCGGTGGCTTCCTTAATCATGCACAGCGAAAAATAAAATAATTTCATTTTCCACCCAAAATTTGCTTTATGTTTATGTAGAAATAGTGATATGAGTTATACTTTTTGTAGATTCTGCAAACTCCTTTACTGATCTTGGAATACGAACAATCACTATCTGTAATTGACAACTATCCAATTGTCCAGCCTCTACTGAAAAACCGCACAGGGAACAAGAATTAGAGAATTAGAGTTTCTATTTTCTCATGTTCGCAAGATTATGAGTTGTGTTCTATTTAATTTTTCTGGAACTTTAATAGTTTATTAATATAAGTCCAAGTGGTTTGATTCATCTCTTCAACTTAATTCGATCCAATATTTAATTAATTAAATTTGGTTCATCAATTAATTAATCGGCATATTAACAAGCAATCCAATTAATTAATTGTCCAGTGCTTGTTAATTAATTAATTGATAAATCTCATTTTTCTGGTTCTCCTTTTTTGTGTGACTCAATGAGTTCTCAATCACGATACTTGACGGCGTAAATAATTATTTTGATCTAATTAAAATCGATAAATTAAAATACCTTTTTTAATTTAACATCCATTCATATTAGTCGTCTCAAATTCACATCTAACAACGTGTCCGTGTAATACATGTGACGAAAAATGTTACGTGATATGACAAAATCAAATTTGTTCATTTACCGTGAAACTATAATCCTTTCGTCAATATGATCTGATTAATTACGAGATATGGATATGTATCAACCTCAATTATCAATAATATCTTTTATCCCACTATTATGTCAATGCATTTTCGACTTATAAGTACACATTGGTTAAGGATTTCATTATCAATTTAATTGAATGAAATATAGATCATAATCTCTTATTATCTAAGAATGATGAATACTCTATCTATTATTCATAATTTTCATATGATTCTTGATACAATCGAACAATGTCGTATTAGTGATCATAATTTTCATATGACATGGCACTATGATACCTCAAGTCGAATGATCAATTCCACTACCGAACGTTAATGATTAACCACTGACACTTAAATAGTTATTCATGTAAAATTTTCCAAATGAGTCTCCCGTTCATTTAAGTGTCACTATACTTTAGCTTATGCGATCATCTATTTATTTCACAAGTAAAAGTGTCACTTGTAATGGGCTATCCGTAATAACGATATCCGTATTTTATTATTACTTACGATCATGAATGATTTAAGTATATCACAATCACAATTTCTTATGATTAACAAATTATCAAACTTAAATCTACATATTTTATTATTTAATTCATTAGAATTAAATTTTAATTTCCCCTTGAAATTTTCAATTTTCTCACTTTGAAAATTTTCATTCTCAAAACATATTTCTCCCATCCACCCATTTAATTCCCCCCCCCCCCCACCCCCACCCCCACCCCCACAACATTGCAAATACACAAGCCATTCTTTTTGTGCTGCAAGTGTCCATGTCCATCTTTTTGATTTATAATCTCTGTTTGTACCGTGATCTTTAATCAAATGCCACCATTATTCTCTATAAGCTATCAACTGCTATACTCGATTATGTCGGCTCCATAGGGCATAAATTACAACTTGTAAGATAACCCAATTGACTTCCTAGTATTCCTGGTAACTATCAAATATAAGGATTTCTTGAAGATTTTCTATAAAAATTCTTTCTGGATTATAACATGCTACACGTGTTGCTACATGAATTGCACAATCAGCTTCGGCTTCTTTCTTTGGTCCTTCAACGGATCACAGTCGAGTTACACGCACAAGATCCTGGAATCGTCCTTGAGTTGCGGTCCACGAGTATTAGCTCACAGACTCCACAAGCAGTTCTATAAGAATCAACATATTTAGGACCGGGCATATCTCGTATAATCTCACTACACGTTTGGAAGTGCTTATAAGAAACTTCTTTAGACAGGATAGTATCAAGAATGATGCTGTCAAAAAAATGAATCCTTATAAGGAGCTTTCGGGATCATATTAGAGCATGTTTGGGTGGACTTACAAGCTGGCATATTTTACTTGTAAGGAGGAGAGAAAAAGTCCGAAGACACAATAATTAACAAAAACATAATAATACCCATTGCCATCTTATTATATGCATGCCAAAGAACATTGCCATAAAAGTACAGAAACTAGTTGTAGCTTGCTTTTAGACGTCTCTCGAAATACAGAAACTACAAGAAACTTGCCGAACAGAACCGCACGACATAGACAGCCTATATGTCAGGAACAAGCCCACAAATATTTGAAGGGCAAATGAAAATCCCTACACTGAGAATATGAGAAATCTGCTATTCCCACCTTAAACCACTGGAAGTTCCCCAGAATCACTTATGACAACCCTCTTCCTAGGACGATCACCTCTGTCTGTCTCCTGTGACTCAACCAGCTTAACAACATCCATGCCCTCCAGAACTTGTCCGAACACCACATGCCTCTGGTCCAGCCATGGTGTCTGTAATTCATCCCACAGAAATACTAGTAAAATACACACCAATGCACATTTTTGTCGCATAACAGTCTTGTTAACCCCATATAAATTGTACTTTGACCCAACTGCTTCTTTGAGTGCCCAAAAGATTGTGGATTGTTCAGTATACTTTTATCTCCAGTTTCAATAACTTGAGAAGCGCAGAAAGAAGGAAAAATTCTTTCTCCTTTTAATTTTTCAATTGCCAATGTGACTTTTTATCTTTAGAAATCCTGTGAAAGCTGGTTATATTTTTCCTTATAAGAAATGAAGAAGAAATATTTATAGGTGATTTCCCGACCTCGACTCGACCAACACTCAGAAATCACCAAAATGTTTGATTTAGTGCTATAAAATAATATCAGTTGAGAATGCTAATTACCTTAACAGTGCAAATGAAAAATTGGCTACCATTGGTATCAGGGCCTGCATTTGCCATGCTAACAACTCCAGGTCCAGTATGAACCACTGCAAAAATCAAATGTATTTCACTCGATACTAACAAGAACTTAGAATAAAAGAATAACCAAATTGAGAGAAAATATACACTCGAAGTTTTCATCTTTGAATGTACGGCCATATATGCTTTTACCACCTGTACCCTACAAAACCAGTAATCCCGAATGCCAGATTAATTAATAAATCTGTGACTGTGAACTGATAAACTTCCAATCAACAAAAGAGAAGGTAACCCTGCATTTATTATGAAACAATTTCGAGTACTACTTTAAGGACAAGTCAAAACAAGCAAATGGAAGGTGCTTATTGACTTCTTATTTTGAAGCTACCAAAAATGCAAGTGAAAAAGATTTTACACTGACTAAGTTGGCTATTAATGTTGAGTGGTCAATATGTACAACATAAATATTTCACAATGGAAATCCTATTCAAATCATAGAACACTAAATATACTAATCCTCTACTCATAATCATCTTTAACGTGACTGCTATACATTCAAAAGTAAAAAGAAAATATGGCATACAGTGAAAGTGAGAAGTGAGAACAAGTGAGGCAGAAACTAATACAGATGAGAAATTAAACTAGTTATAGACAAAAATAAATAATGAGAAGACAAGGGCAAAGTAGTGGTACAATAAACATTCATAAGCTGAGAGACAGAATTGAGTGTAGACAACAACATAATTGTCTTGTGTGTGTTGATAGCAGCTACTTGACATATCAAAAGAAACCCTAGGATGTAACCGTATCCGAGCACCAGGTTAATGATGAAACCTTGAAAGGAAAATGATGGTGTAATGATACATCTTTTTGTCCTTTGTTCCACCAAAATATAATATTTTGATGCAATTTTTATTTTTATGAAATCATACCCTTAAGCCAACAACCTTTCCACTCTAACTTCTAACAATTAAAACATCCAAATGCTGAAGTGCAAGTATACTCATTTTCCTTCCATTTTAAGTAACAGGGAGCTCATAAACAATATTTGTATCAAGGTTAGTTTGTCTACATTTTCCTTCCTGTCAATACTTCACATCGATTAGGATATAAGGTAGCACGTCAATGACATTAGATATTGGATAAACAATTTATATTACGTCGGATATTGTTTCAACACAAAAAAGGCAAAATGCTAAGCATTCAATACTGAAATTTGGAAGCTTGAATTTCAATGGGAAGAAATATTCTTAGAAGAAATATTTGGTTTTTGAGGTAAAATATTTTCATTGAGTATGTTCTTTGATATCGATTCTTCTAATACGGAAAGCACAATGCAAGAAATGTTCACCTCTACATGAGTTTAATTAACAGTATATAAACTCACTGTAATACAATTATATAACTCTTAATTGAAAGAACTTACAAGGATTCACCTAAAAGTTGCAATAAGTATTTATAGCTAAAGTTAATTCGAGTAATGAATTAAATGGAAATTAGTTTGTTAAAAGACATCTTACATTTCCTTTATCAAAATCTCCTCCTTGAATCATAAAATCCTTAATAACACGGTGGAATGCGGATCCCTTGTAGCCAAATCCCTTCTCTCCTGTTCAATTGCACATTCGTAACAAGATATATTCAAAATGACAAAAAAATAAGTGATAATATATGCATCTGCACTAATGCTCACACCCATAAATACATTAACGTTCATAAAATAAAACTAGAAAACCTGTGCACAGAGCACGGAAATTCTCCGCAGTCTGCGGCACATCATCACCATATAATCCAATTACAATTCTCCCAGCAAGCTTTCCTACAGGTTCTCCAATGCTTATATCAAAATAAACTTTGTGAGTCACTTTGGACTGTAATGCAGCTTCCTGTAACAACAGAATCAATATTCCAAATGCTATAAGGAGTGTCTTGAATGGTAGAAAGAGCCAAGAGGTAAAGGAAATGAAGAATGGAAACATTTTCCACTATTTAGTATGGTGGAGAAATAGATCAATTATCAATCCCACCCATCATTTTAAATTCACAAGCACAAAAATCTTGTTCTCTCCTGTTGTCCACCATACTAAAAAAGAGAAGTCAGTTTTTCTTCCTCAAAATGAAAAACCAAACCTTCAATTTTTCATTCAAACCCCATCTTTAAACAAAGGGTATAAAGCTCTATTATCCTCGAGTTATGTTACTGTCAACTTAATATTTCAGTAAAATTGCTATAATATGCAATTCCCAATTTGCCATCTTGCATTAATTCAAGTTCCTAGAATTAGTTCCAAAAAGAATCTAAACTAATCTAGCGTTAGAATTCATTTGGAAAGTTATAGTTTAAAATATCATCCACTACCTTATCATCACATTAAGGTTTATTGACATATTTTTTTGATTGGTTCCCCATCAAAATGTAATTTCGATAAAAGATTGTTACTTGTTCAGATATCTCGAATTCTAAGCGTAAAATAAGTTTGTAAGCAAAAACAAACCTCTGCCATGGCTCTAACCGGGGAAAACAGAGCGCCACTATTTCTCACAAGAGTGGGGCTTGAAAACGAAGATGAGAGCCGCAACGGACAGGAGATAAAGCTCAAGGAAGATAACGCACATTTCCCAGGCTTGGCAGAAGAGAGAGCACAAATGGAGCGTGGTGACACTTTGGTTTGTGGAACTGAAACTGAGCTAATATTCAACTGAAAGTAGAAAAAATAGCAAATCAAATATGGAAATTTGATGAAAAGTAAAGAGCAACATTAGGGTTTGTGCACTACACTTACCAGAGACGCATATGAAACCGCCATTTTAGGTTGTCGTGAGAAAGAAAATGGAGTTTTTAGGGATAAAAGAACCCAACACAGAGGTGAAGAACCAAGGCACAGGGAAGGACGGAGATTGCGAGATTGGTAAATGACTGAAATGGTATTGAATATTGGGGAAATTACAAACACACCTATATCCATTTTCATAATTCCTGATTTAAGTTTGATATTTCACTAATCAGGATTTAAAGGAATTAAAAAAAAAAATTTATTTTCATTTAAAAATCTATTTAAAATAAATTCATTTATTTAACCCTACCCTAACTCCCATACCCTAAATCAAATCTTCTCTCAATCTCTCCACCGACGCCGCCGCCCGTCTCTCTGCACCACGCCACTGATGCCGCCGCCGTGGATCTTCTTCCCCTTCTATCCTCTCTCTCTCATCTCCGCTCCAGTGTGTATGCGACGCCTCGCTGCCGTT